AACAATTGAATTAAAGCCTATAGAAGTCAATAAAAATAATGTAAATTATGTAAAACAAAGATACTTTAACAAATTTAAAGAAAAACTAAATAATAATACCCAAAAAATGGATGTTGGAGACTTTGTACGTGTAAGCAAATACAAAGGAATATTTGAAAAAGGATATACTCCAAATTGGTCAACAGAAGTATTCAAGATCATAAAAATACAACCCACAAATCCAGTAACATACTTGATTGAAGATGCAAAAGGTCAGCCGATTTTGGGCGCATTTTATAGTTACGAACTACAGAAAACTAAACATCCAAATATATATTTAGTTGAGAAGGTTTTGAAAAGAAATCGAAATAAAGTTTTTGTAAAATGGTTAGGACTACCATCAAGTGAAAACAGCTGGATACATAATTCTAATATTTTATGATAGCTTTCAAATGAGTTTTAATGAGTAATGAGTGATAATTTTGTAATGTTAAAAATGAATAAAGTACTTAAAGTAAATCCATCTTTATTTTATTTAGTATCCTTCATAGTATGAGTGAATGCAGTCTTCTAAATTGGTTAATTAATCACTTACCGTTTGAACTTCATTTACCTGGATATAATTATTGGGGGTCCTGGAACCAAATTAATTCAAAGACTTAGCAGAGGAGATAAGGGTATTAACCAATTGGATGAACATTGCAGAGAACACGATATTGCTTATCATACTTTTCATCTTTTAAGCGATCGGCGAAAGCAGATATTAAATTGATGAAAATGGCGAAAAAGCGTGCTACTGCCTCGGATGCATCTCTATGTGAAAAAGTTGCAGCTAACTTAGTAAAAAATACTATGTTAGCTAAGGCTAGCATTGGAGCTGGTTTAAAGGCAAAAAACATATCGATAAAAAAGAGACAAAGCTCAGGTTTGAAAAAAAAAATGTTTCAACATGTGGTTTCCCATACTAAAAAATACTTACAAAAAATCAAACCTCAATGTGAAAAAACCGCAATTAATTTAGCAATGGCAGCTGCGAAGAACTTTGTTACAAATTCTGTTATAAAACATCCGCGCATAATACCTGTACCAAAAACTGGTGGTATACTTCCGTTAATACCTATTTTTGCGGGGTTGTCAGCAACAGGAAGCTTAGCAGGTGGAGCTGCTGCAATAGCTAAAGCTATAAATGACTACAAACTTGCTAAGAAACGTTTATCAGAATTGAAAAGACATAATGAAAAAATGGAATCTCTTTCAATTGGAAAAGGGTTACATGTTAAACCCCATAACGGTGGTCTTGGAATTTTTACAACTTGTAAAAAAAACTAAATCGGCTACCCAATAGAGCTCTTACTAACATCGATATTTTAAAATATGCGATTAAAATACCACATTTTCGAGGTGTTTTTATGAGAAATGAATTACCAAAATGTCCTCTTAAAAGAGAATGTGGTGTTATTAATTTAGATCACTCAGAAAATTCTGGAACTCATTGGGTAGCTTATGTTAAATGTCAAGATTATATAGAATACTTTGATAGCTATGGAAATTTAAAACCACCAAAAGAGCTGATCCAATACTTAGGAAAAAAAGTATATTATAATTACGAAAATATTCAACAAGATCATCCTTATAACTGCGGTCATTTATGTATAAAGTTTCTTGAGAATTTTTGGCGTAATAAACTAAAAAAATGAATAAATAATACCCAAATACATTATTACCTTTAGTATTCAACCATGTCTATTACTTTAACCATCACTGGTAATCAATCATTCCTTGAATCATATTTTCAGCCATCTTTAAGTATAGATGGCAAATATGAGTGTGGTTTACTATATTTTTCTGTATTTAATACAGTAAGAAATATAGATGAAAATAATAACATATTTTCTTACGGTAATGACGGTAAAATATTGCATATACCATATGGTAATTACGATTTGTATGATATACTTGCATATTTAGAAAAAAATTTAAAAGATTGTGAGATTAAAATTCAACCCAATAATAATACCTTAAAATGTTCCATATATTGCTCTGAAACACTTAACTTTAATGTTAAAAACAGTTTAGGACCTGTCCTTGGTTTTCGTAATATAAAATTAGATGCAAACAAATGGCATGAATCCGAAAATCCAGTCAGAATTCTACCGTTGTCTCTTATAAGAATCGAGTGTGATCTTGTTAAAGAATCATTTGTTAACGGCTTACCATCGCATGTACTATACGAATTTGTGCCTGATATACCGCCTGGTTATCGATACATAGAGGTACCCAAAAATATAATTTATTTACCAATAAACAAAAAAACATAACATCTATAGCTATAAAAGTTGTTGATGAAGACGGTAATAATATTGACTTCAGAGGAGAAAATATTCAACTGCGCCTCCATTTAAGAAAAATAAAATGATTGTATTTTATAAACCTCTTAATAATAATGCTAAAAGCATTGATACTTGTATTGCTAAAAAGCGCAGACGTGTTAAAGGTGTTAAGAAAATAACAAAACAGAACAAAGAATTTCTTCGATCACTTGGTTTTAAAATATGAATATACTTCAAGTTACAAGTTTACCTCAGTTCGATAACTCAATTGAAAATTACGAAATACACACCTATAATCCATATAATAATAGTTTCGCGGAAAATGACGAAATACGAATCCCCATTCATCAGCAAGATTTGTATCTATTGCCTTCAGCCAGTACCATCTACATCGAAGGATATGCAACCATCATCGGAAAGGACAACAAGTCGGTCAAAAGACATGTGGAATTTACTAATAACCCTTTTATGTTTCTGTTCCAAGACATCAGGTATGAAATAAATGGGATTGAAATCGATCGCATAAAAAACGCTGGAGTAACGACCACAATGAAATCATTGGTATCAATGAGCGGAGGGGAAAGTAAGGTTGCAGCTCTGTGGGGTTGGAACATAAATGGATTTACAAACGATGGTCATTTCAGCGTTGTTATACCCTTAAACAAAATACTTGGATTTGCAGAAGATTATAACAAAATAATTATGAACTGTAAACATGAACTAATACTGAACAGGAGCAACACAAACCTAAACAGTATCAAACTTTCAGATGATTTTTCTCATGTAAAAATAGACTTACAAAGAGTGCAGTGGCGAATGCCTCACGTAAAAGTATCAGATCGCGAGAAACTTACATTACTCAAATATTTAGAAAAAGATAAACCAATTCAAATTGCTTTTAGAAATTGGGATCTGTATGAGTATCCGTTGTTACCTAAAACAACAAAACATTCTTGGTCTGTTAAAACGGCTTCACAGACAGAGAAACCACGATATGTTATCTTTGGTCTGCAAACTGATAGAAAGTTTAATAAAGCAAAAGATTGTTCTGTATTCGATCATTGCAAAATATCTAGAGTAACATTATTTTTGAACTCCAATTACTATCCATACGAATCACTGAACTTAAACTTTGATGAAGATAAATATGGTATATTATACGAAATGTACACTCAATTTCGTCAGTCTTATTACAACATTCATATGGACCCCCTGTTAGATCTGCATACTTTTAAAGAAAAGGCGCCATTGTTTATCATTGATTGCTCGAGACAGAACGAGACTTTGAAAACTGGACCAGTCGATGTGCGATTAGAAATTGAAAGTACTGAAGATATTCCAGCAAGTACGTCTGCATATTGTCTCATTATAAATGACCGTCTTATAGAGTATAAACCTTTAAGTAATATCGTACGCAAGATATCATGATTGCCATAGTAGACGTTCAAGGTTTTAAGATTGATAATAATAATTTTATCTTAAAAGAATTTGCGGTTGCATATGATAATAGAATTCAAGTTCTGCTTTATAAGCAACCGTACCCATTCTATGATTTGACACCAACGGAACGAAGACAAGTAAGCTGGATTGAAAGAAATAGAGGAATATTTTGGAAAGAAGGTCATATACCTTATTCAAATCATAAGGATCATATTATACCAATTTTAGCTAATAAAAAAATTTACACTAAAGGTCTTGAAAAAATGTCTTGGATTAAAGAAATATCCAAAAATAATAATGTTTTTAATTTAGAAGATCAAACTTGTCCTAATTTAGTTAGTTTATATGATAAGTATAGTATGTCAGATGATGTAAACAGTTGTATTTATCATTCTAAAATATGTGCTTTAAAAAATGTAATGTGTTTAAGTAAATGGTGTAAAGAAAATAAAATTCTAAAATAATAATTTGTTTTTAATACTATATTAAATTACCCTGAAATCTGAAATGATAATAATAATTTAATATGTATAGGACCTATTTGTCAAATTCTAAGAAGTACAAAAATTGATTTCAAATAGTCGTTTTGAGCATATTTTAAATGTTTTAGAATGAAGCAGTTTGAACAGGTCAATAATATTTTGAAATGAAACAGTTTGAACAGATCAATAATATTTTGGAATAAAGCAGTTAGAACAGGTCAATAATATTTTGGAATGAAACAGTTTGAACAGATCAATAATATTTTGGAATAAAGCAGTTAGAACAGGTCAATAATATTTTGGAATGAAACAGTTTGAACAGATCAATAATATTTTGGAATAAAGCAGTTAGAACAGGTCAATAATATTTTGGAATGAAACAGTTTGAACAGATCAATAATATTTTGGAATGAAGCAGTTTGAACGTATCAATAATATTAACAATATACAGATAAAATACAGATTTCAACCGTCCTAGGACTTCAAATTTTAAAAGTAATAATTAAAATTAACAATTAGTCAAATTTGAAAATATGTTGAAAACCGATTTCACAACTTTGAGAAGTGAAATACGAAAAATAGACTTTTATAAGTTTTTGAAATAATATGTTAAAAAACTGATTTTACAAGTTTTGAGAAGTAAAATATGAAAAACAGACTTTTCTAAGTTTTTGAAAACGTGAATTGAGAGAGATGGATCTTCTTTGATCCAGCTCGCTCAATTCACCACTACTATTTATATATGCATAGATCTCTGTGTAAAGTATACCTAATCCACCTGAAGATGATGCCCTTTGGTATATGTACCCAGGTGACCTCTTGCTTCTCCGCGTGTATCTGCAAATTGTATGCTAGCAGAAAACTTGACAAAACGAAGAATGTATGCGTCACCAAACTTCCATTGAACAGTAACTGCTTCAAAGGATCTTCGTAAGTCTGAAATCACATAACATAAGTACACTTTTAATTCAAACAGTTAGCTATAAGTCCCTGAAAGGTTATCCAAATCAAGAACCAGGAAGACAAACAAATAAAAAATCAGAAATCAGATTTACAACTTATTTCCTTCACCAGTACTTCTTAGGACTAAGATTTTTTTTTCTGAACTGTTGGTAGAATTATGATTTTCAGTAGAAAGTTATAATAATGTTGAATAAAATTTTTGAATTTGATGATTGATAACAACAATTAAGATCTTGTTATAATTTTGAGGGAATAAGTACACATAAAAATTATTAAGTTACCTCTATAATTTTAATTGTATATAGGAAGATACTCTTTATATGTATAATTCAAAGTCAAAGTCCAATTATATGTATAATTGGAGATAGAGACGAAGAATTTCTTTTTATAAGCTTTTATTTAACTTGCAATGTTTGTATGAATTTTTGTTTGGGTCAAATCTTGCAACAAAATTTTAAAGCTATGTTATCCTCAACCGAAGTTAAGTTGAAATTTTGCATACACGTTTAGATAAGTGACGATATTCTAAATCCAACAAAGTGGACTCCCAACGATAGCGGGCTATGTTTTTTATGCACACCCCCATGATATGGATATCAAATAAAAGGTTCATGCAGAAACATACGAATAAGTACCTAAAAAAAATCAAACCCATTTAGTACATTACACAATTTATATAATATAAAAACTTGTTCTTAAAAATGATTTTTTTAATATTAATTAATTAACGGTAACTTTACGCTGATCTTCACATTACTGAAAGGCACAGGCGTACTAAATATTAGTTTAAAGTACAACGTGAACTAATCTCGAATTTAAGTAACATTTAAATAGACCATTACTATACCATGCAATAATGAATCTACGTACGCTAAATATATGTATATGAAAAATAAGGAGATGATGGGGGAGATTTGACAGTTAAAAAAATATTTAAAAAATAATTTATTTCTAATTATTTTTTGGTTTTTAATTGGTATAAATAATAAAAGCTCTTTTTTAATTGATATATTTCTTTTATTTCATGCCACAAGTGTTTTAATTTAAGTACAATTTTTGATTTATTTTAAACTAGCGACTCACCTTAGTTTCGCTCGGGTTCGCCCCCAGCTTGCTTCCCCATACAAACTTTCATCCCTATTTTCACCCCCTTAAGGGATAATTTCCGGGATAAAAAGTATCCTATATCCTTCCCAGTGTCTCAAACTATATTCTTACCAAATTTCATCTAAATCGGTTTTGTAGATCTAGAGATTACCCCCTACAACGTCACAAACTCACAATTCACAAACTCATAAACGTCACCTCTTTATAATATTAGTATAAATAGATTTACGAATTATATATGAAAAAAACCATCTTATAGAAATATCACTCAATAGATTACGACGCGGTCGGGTTCCATGCCTACGAATATGTTGTATTATCTCTTTAACAATTTGTCCAAATTATATGCAGTAAAAGAGAAAAGTCTTTTGTTGTAAACATTTTAGACGATAAATTTACTTATTTTGATAGAAATTCAGAATTGTTGATAATAGGACCAATAAACATGACCTACCGATTTAAATTATTTTTTTAATATGAAAATCTACTTTTTGTGACTTAAATATAAAAGTTAGACATATGCTGTCGCTGACTTTTTTGTAGGCATTATTAAGCTCTACAACTTTTCTCTAGAACATAATCATATATCTCTCATCGTTAAGGCAGCGTTCGTAAGAAACGTTTTCGTTCGACCGTTTTTTCTCCGACTTACTTTGCAAATCCGACTACCATGAAAAAGTCTTTTCCGTTTTCGGGTTAATATATAACCAATGACACTCAGAAAGAACGTGGCTTTCTATTGGTAAAAGAACTTTGAAAATCGGTTAAGTAGATCCAGAGATTACCCCCTACAATATCACAAACTCACAATATCTCAAACTTTACCTCTTTATAATATGTATTAGTATAGATATCATTCTTTAGCCTAGTGTTAGATTCTTTTTCTTCTAATGACAGTTAAAAATAACTAACACTAAATATTACCATTTTTTTTTTGTTTAATTTAGCGTTCGATATTTTTTTTTCATTTGAAATAATTCATTAGGACGTATAATTATAATAGATTTATTTTAAAATACAAACCATCGAGTATGAAAACGTTGGCAGTTTTCCTAAAAAAGATCTTTGGAAGATCTCTTTAAAAATATGACGGGCTTATGTCACATGAGATATAAAATATTATACGATATTTGTTTTTACGATTTTGTTTAGGCTATTAGTGCAATAATGGACTATTTAAGTCACACGTATTGTAAATTACTATAAGTGATCACTATTGTCTATTACCATTTTGCATAAGTAACAAAATTGATCATCTCTATTCTAGAGAAAAGTCTGAAGAGGATAATGTAGTTTTATTTTTTTAACTTTTATTTTATAAAAAAAATATTTACCGTTTCAATATAAAGTGGATTTTGAATATAGGTGAACGACATGACGAGCGCAGTGTGAGAGAATATCACGCACACCATTGTTAAGGCTCTGAAAATAAAACGAAAGATGAATTATAATTCTGTACGGAAATAGTCCACAGTACACAAAGTATTTGTCTTAATGATTAATAACAAGCTGAAATTTTACGAGTAGCTTCGTTTTGAAAAGGTACCCAACTTTTCTTTTTACCCGACCGCGCAACGCGAAGGAGGGTAATGTGTTTATCAGTCTATGTATGTATAAAATTACATCAAATGTCTAATTGGCTAAAACTAAAATGCTGTAAATAAAAAAATATATTATTAAAAAAAATAAACTCAACTGCTTAAAAGCTAACTAGAAACATTTTTTCATATTTTAAGTTAGCATTTATGCTGTCGAGTTTTTTATTTTTATAATATATTTTTCTTTACGAAAATTTGAAAGTGGTTGATACAATTGTGGGTTGATAAGAAATATGTGGAAATAAATAATGATTGCCTTAATTTTATTTCTAAGAACTTGTTTTACAATTTAATATTTCTAATCCTACATGAAACAAAAAAAAAATTTCTTACGAAACAGATGCTTTGGATCAAATCGACACTCTCTCCGAACTTGTAAAAAAATAACAACGTCATAAAATTTATTAATAACTGGCGGATTCTCATAGTATTTATAATTAAAAATATGCATAATTCATTGACCACATCACCCTACATATAAAATGCTGGGATTTCTCAGTCACTCGGATACTGTGTCCATAAAAGGTGGTCAAAAATATCAATTTTTATGGCGAACAGTTTCAAAGTTAATGCACTGTAGTGCCATCTCATGGCATATTACAGTTATACTCTAAAGCCCTTTACACTGTTATATAAAAATAAAAATCACAGTTGGTATCGCATCATTCGCATCCCACATAGCACGCCGCACAATTGCCATGTACGAGTATATGTAATTTTTAGACGACTGTATGGATTTCAAATGAAATCAATATATATTTTATTCAAATAGACTTTTACAAACACTTTTGAATCGTCAGTTTTACACTTTAAACAACCTTTAAATTAAAACTTTAAAATTAAACTATATGTCAGTATGTGAGTCTGTGAGTAATATACCACCGTGGATTAATAGACACTGTGCTTATGTCTTCACTTATAGATATAGAAGTGTAAATAATGGAATAATAGCTACCACAGCTTCTATTTCGTTTATGAATGGCTTTAACTCTCGAAGCAGGCCTTTTAAGACAAAAAGATAGAAGTACAAATAAATATGATAAATGGTATGTTGTAAGCATCAATCAATCAATATTTACAAAAAAAAACTATGCAATGTAGGTACGAACATATTTTTTAAATAGCTCGTAAGATTAGCATTTAATTATATTATGATAAATTATGCACCGACGTTGGAATGATTGAGAGGGAATTATTTATTATTTTGCCGTGTACGAATTAAAATATTCTAAGCCTTCAATAACTTTATATACTTACTAGCAGAACCCGCGGTTTCGTTCGCGCTAAAACTACAAAAAAAAGTAAGTTTCATAGTTTCAAGTTTCATAAAAATTTTCAACCCCTATTTTACCCCCTTATAGGATGAATTTCGAGAAATGCTAAAACACATATGTATTTAATTGTATTGAAGAGCATTAATACCAAATTTCAAGTAATTCTGATCACAAATAATTTTTGGATAGTATCATAACGTGTTTACGCGTGGGAATGAGATAATCTCCCGCGGTAAAAAGTAGCCTATGTCACTCTCCAGGCCTCCAACTATATCCACACAAAAAATCACGCCAATCCTTCATTCCGTTTCATCGTGGAAGAAAGACAAACAAACAAATACACAAACACACTTTCACATTTATAATATTAGTATGCAAGTATGTATATGGATTTAAAGTAATTAAAAAGGGATCATAGCCGCATTGGTTTGTACATTTATATTAACATTACTCGTATATTCTGTACTTTTGAAAACATAACACATTCATTCATATCATGTTGAGATGTTATAAAGCCAAACTCGTTTTCTTATGACCCTCGTCAACTTTAGAAGGTACTAGCATTGCCCGCGGCTCCGCTCGCCTGCAGATGGCCAAAAACCAAACTCTTAGGTTTTACATATTGTATACTCTTAAATTGCAGTTTTTCTATTTTTTCTCAGAAATTAGACATTTTCCCGCGGGTAAAAGTATCCTATATGTTGACCCGAATAACCAGCTTTCACCATAACAAATTTCATCAAAATCCCTCCAGTGGTTTTTCTGTGATACGGTAACAGACAGACAGACAGACAGACAAAAATTTTAAAAACATAGAGTCGGCCTATATATCGATAATAATGTTTATTTCAATAAGATTTTCTTACAATGGCTTAGTTACAATTTTATTATATGTATAGATGAATTAAAAAGAAATAAAGTACATAAGCTTATAGTTTCTGTTTTATTTGAATTATTATACCTTAGTCCATTAAATAATTTCAATCTTTCATATCTCGAGTCAGGTCCAACTCCACTGGGCGCCGTAAGTTTTGTCCAATTTCTTGGCAAAGAAAATGCTAGTATATATGGATTTCCTGTGGAAGATAAACTTTCAATTATTATATTTTGAGGAGGCGTTTGGCTCAGTTTGTAGTGACCCTACTTGCTGTACCAGCGGTCGCGGGTTTGAGTCCCTCTGGGAGCATTCATTTGTGTGATGAGCACGAATGCTTGTACTCCAGTCAGGAGTGTTTATATTTATAATATATATATATTTAAAGTTATATATGTGTAGTGTATCAACTATCTAGTATCCATAACACATGCCTCGTAGCTTACCATGGAACTAGATGGTGCTGTGTGTTAATTTCCCAACATATTTATTTAATTGAAAAATTTTAATAGCAACATCTAATTGATGTCGCAAGGAATTTCAAATATGTCGTAAGTATGCAATAGGCTGAATATTTCAAAGTTTCCTTTAACACCTCCAGGTAAATTTCTGAGTAATTAATTAAATTTCTAAGAAATCTATTGTTAACTGACATGCCGGCGTGTCCGCGGTCGTGGAGGGATTAGACGTAATTTAAACCATATTACGTATATAAATTATATGGCTAAAGTAATAAAAACGTTTATGAAATTTAATATAAACATAATGTTGATTCTTATAGATGTTGTAGTTCCTAGTCTATATATATAAAAGAAAGTCGTGTTAGTTACTTCGCTTATAACTCAAGAACGGCTGAACCGATTTAGCTGAAAATTGGCAGGGAGGTAGTTTAGAGCCAGGAGAAGGACATAGGATACTTTTTATCCCGTTCGACCGCGTTCCAATTTTTATGATATTTTAATTTTTGGATTTCTCTTAGTCCGGAATAGGTAAGTATTAAAACATATAATTAAAATGTGAGAAAGAAAGATTTTTTCTTTTTATATCTATTTAAAACGTACCTAGCGACGAACCCGAGCGAAGCGAGGGTGAGCCGCTAGTAATAATATAATTTAAGAATTTCTTAGATGATATCTGTAAATATGAATTTAACTTAAGCATGTTTTGTGAACAATTAAATTGAATTAAAAATTTGTTGAACATGTTATATACTAGCAGAACCCGCGGCTTCGCTCGCGCTAAAACTACGAAAAGATCTCTAAAAAGGTAGGTTTCATACAAACTTTCATTCCCTTTTTTTTAACGTTGGGAAATGCATTTATGCACGAGGTATGGGACTCACCGGCAAAGCCAGTACTACTCACTAAAACCCAACAAAGCCTTCCCCCGTCTTAATGGGGCGTCGCAGGATCGCTTACGCATTCAACTACGACGCCCCGAACGGCAGGTCTGCTGAAGCAGACCACAACAACCAAGGGGTTCCCTATTTTATCCCTTTCGCTTTCCTTTCCCTATTTTTTATTTCGAAAAATGCTAAAATACGTATTTATTAACTTATACTGAAGAGTATTAATGCCAAGTTTCAAGTAATTCTGATTACAAATAATCTTTTAGTTTGTATTATAACGTGTTTTCCTGTGTAAATAAAAAAAATCTCTCGCGATAAAAAGCCTATGTCACTCTCCAGCCCTTCAACTATCTTCACACAAAAAATCACGGCAATCCGTGTTTCGACGTGAAAGAAGGACTAACAAACAAATAAATAAACAAACAAACACATTTTAGAATTTTTTTGAGTTTTATTGAAATAAAACTATCTTTACCATTTTTTTTGCGGTTACTTTCGCGTTTATAATATTAGCATTGATCAAATGAAAAAACTTCTTTATCATAAATAATTCTTCGGCAAATTGTTCATTTTGATTATGTTATCGTATTGTACTAATACCATCATCATCATCATCATTAGTCATGACTCTCAATAATGTATGTAGGTATATTTGTATTTTTTTTTAATTTATCGCGTTTCGTAATTATATAATAATTATACTACGCGTTAAGCCCCGTAGTGTAATTATTATATATAATTATGAAACGCGATAATTTAAAAAATATAAATACCTATATACATTATTGAGAATCATGACTGATGATGATGATGGTATAAGTACAATACGATAGATGATGATGATGATGGTATTAGTACAATACAAGAAACATGGTATATAGCCACTTACGAATTCATAAGTTAAATCGCGTAGTGTAATTATTATATAGATATATTTGTAGAAACATGAGTGAACGTACGTGTCTAAGTGTGAACAAATTCTAGCAAACAATAAAATTATCTAGAATTTAGTACCTGTTTTATTATCCTTTTCGCAAATAATGATGTCGTAAAAGCTTCCAATTACATTGAGGATTATAATCAACGCATATACAACTGCTATGATATAGTCACTTGGATCTAAAATAACCCTGTTATCATATTCCTTACAATATAATATATTTGTTAATTTTGCCTCTATTTTATATTCTTTCCATATAGTTTCATTGATGCATCGCTCAAGGGTCTTGTTTAGATCCGGCGTTGTTTCTAATGTCTTATTTAGATAAGAAATGCACGTGGATGTGACGCAGGTCGCTCTATGTAAGTGTGTATGATTAAAATGCTTCAGTTTATAATTTGAATATTCCTGAAAAAATATAAAATATCTTGTTAATTGGATCGTTGTATTGGGATACTGGTTTTTACATCTAAAAGAAAGAAGTAAAGCTTGTTACAAGCAGTTAGTAAGACAGACTAGCAGCTGACAGTTCAGCCGGGCGTGAAGCCAAGAAACGCACAGGGAGGTGGCCCAGTTCGGTGAGCGATGAACCATGCGGGCTCCTCCTGGTACTTCACTGATAGCAGAGTGGACTGTTAGAGCAACCCCGTGGTTGTTGTGGTTTGCTTCGGTAGCCCTGTCGTCGGGGCGTAGTGGTTGAGTGCGAAAGCGATCCCGCGACGTCCCATTATGATGGGGGAGGTTTTGTTGGGTTTTAGTGGGTACCACATAACCACTTGTATATCCGCAGGTGGTATGCGTAAATGCATTTCCCAAAAAAAAAAACGGACAACCAGCTATCATCATACTAAACTTCAACAAAATCTGTCCAGTAGTTTTCTCGTGAGTTATCCCAGATATACAGATAGACAGACAAAATTCTAAAAACTATAGATTCGTTCTCTGTATCGATAATAATGACTATTTCGATAAGATTTTCCAAAAAATATTTAATGTACAGATTCGACTCAGAATTTTATTATTGACTGTTTTTCAACAACTCCTTCTCCTGGACTGTGCAACTTGCAGAGGTAAGTAGAAGGATATTTTGCTGCAATAAGTTGTTTGAGGCGATGGAAAAATCTGTTGCCTATTAAAACTAAAACTGCACTAGCTCACTCACTACTGCTACCAATTTTAGATTATGCTGATTGCTGTTACCTCGACGTTTCAGAGGAACAGCTTAACAAGCTCGAACGTTTGCAGAATATGTGCATCAGATTTATATTTGGTTTACGTAAATTCGACCACATCACCGATTACCGTAAGCAATTAAAGTGGCTTCCAATTAGACTTAGACGCAATTTGCACGTTCTCTCCATCCTTTTCTCCATCCTTTATAACCCAACTACTCCCTCTTACTTAAAGGAACGCTTTAATTTTCTGGGTTCGGACGTCTCTGGTTTGCAACTTAGGTCTCAGAGCGACAACCGTTTGAAATTACCATCTTGCACCACAAATTACTATGGTAACTCTTTCACCGTAAAAGCTGCAAAGCTATGGAATATGCTCCCCCATAATGTTCGCCACTCAAAGTCACTAAATATATTTAAACGTCTTCTAACTAATTATTATTTGTCTTGTTAGTTATTGAGTATATATGTATATACTATGTATTTATGTATCTATATGTATGTATTTATGTATATGTGTACATATATATTATACATGTATGTATATATCATATTTTTGCATTATGTATGTATTCATGTTTATAAACGTAATTCATCTTGTCTGTATTTAATGTTAATTGCATCGTCCCGTCTACGATTCTTCTAATCCTTTCACCAAAGGTTGTCTGTAAAAGATTGCTCGTAGCAATAAGACCGCCTTTGCATGCCTCTTTGTTATTTTTTTTTCTCTTTTCATCTTCTGTACTCTTCTTTTGTGTGTGCAATAAAGTATTTATCTATCTATCTATCTATATGTATAGATATTTGTGTATAAGCGAATTTATTAAAAAAATCCATTGTATAGCTATTTTCTTGTTAATTCCTTTATAATGCCAGGTTTCTGTAAACGATACATATATATGCATATACAATACTCATAATTGTGCGCATTAGTCTGTTAGTTATAATTTCAGAACTAAATTTTTGTTATTGGTTCACCTATAAGAATGCTTTAAAGGGACATTTGTTAGGTTACACTTTGGTCGTGTTTTTTGTTACAACAGGTTATATCCGAAATTTGATTCATCGAGTACAAAAGCGTTTTGAATCTTTCCAAAACTTCATTCTAAAGATATATTTTTGGAAAATATCTTTAAAATAACAGCGGGGTTTCATCGCATGAGCCCACGCGCCACATCCGCTAGAGGATATGGAGCAGTAAAGGCAGCTAAGATTCCTCGAATAACGGTTAAAATTCAATAAGTTGTTGTAATAACTACGAGTTCTCAGATCATTATTTAATTACATTGAACTATGTGAGAAATGTAAATAATTTCTGATGAATGATAAATGTGTGTCTGTAGATTGTTTTAATTATTATCATTATTTATAAATTAGTTTATTTCTTTTGTGCGCGTGTATTCTGCGTATTATACAGCAACCAGCCCGTTGAGATCTATCATGATAATAGGAATATATTCTATAGAGAACTCAAGCTATTTTGGACATCAACTAATGAAAAATGTCATGAGTATATTATTAAAGTATATTTTACTGAAAAAAATTTGAATAAAGTGCGTCTTGAGACAAATTGCTTTTTTGAATTTTATATATAGAAAAATATTATAAAAATTAATTAATTTTAATTATAATTGATATAACGCTTAAATAAGGCATTTATATACAATCAAGACCAGACCAGAGTGGTAGACCATTGGTAACGCGCACGTTTAGAAAACCAAATGATGTGGGTTCAACCCTGGGGCTCACATCTCTACAAATTTCATGTGCGAATTTTTGAAAGCCGAATGAAGTCCACCAAACTGCACTTACCAGTGTGGTGAATTACTATAGCATGATCTTTCTCGAATTGAAGGGAGTCCATGCCCAGGAGAGGAACGATTAAAAGGGCTGAATTATTATTATACTAGCGGCTCACCCTAGCTTCGCTCGGGTTCGTCGCTAGGTACGTTTTAAATATATGTAAATAGTTAATACCCAGCGTTAGCCATATAGATTTTAATATGGCTGTTAAGTATTCTTAAATAAGTATTCTTAAATTTTATAAGTTTCCGCGCAATTTTTTACTTTTTTTCTTACATAAGAACCTTCTCCTGACAATAGCAAACACAAAAAAAAATAGTTAAATCGGTCCAGCCATTCACGCGTGATGGCGTGACCAAGGGAAATAGGGATTCATTTTTATATATAGATAATATTATTATACAATTTTTGGTTTTCTGCGTTTGTAGAATATGATCTTGCCAGATCTTTTGAACAGAAAATTTCTGTAAATGTCTTATTCGTAAAACATTCTATTTAACTTGTATAATTAATAATAAGTGACACTGCCTTGTTAAAGTTGAACAAATTATATGGTTTTCCGAGTATTTATTATATCTCACGGATCAATGTTAATTACATAGCATTTATAAGATTTAATTATACCAAACAAGTATCTTTGTTATGCAAAATATGTTCTTCATAGATGTTTAAAGAATTATCATGACACTTCTGACAAAGGGTGCAATAATTACTATTAAAATATTCGATTTAAATAAAGGTGAAATATTTTTTTAATATATATATATATATATATATATATATATATATATATATATATACTAGCGGACCCGACAGACGTTGTCCTGTCTACACGTCTTTAATTTGAAAATTTCAAATTTTTTTTAATAATTTTTTTGATGAAAATTATTATTCAAATTGTGAATCTAAACCATTCCCAGATCCCCTTGAACACACACACAAAATTTCATCAAAATCGGTCCAGTCGTTTGAGAGAAGTTCAATGACATACACACTCACAGAAGAATTATATATATAAAGATATATATGGTATTCAGTGACAAACGAGCAGACAGCCCACCGCTGCTTGGCGGGAGAAATAGATAAGGGGGTGGTGCCCATCCAGTCGGACTCCTCAGACTTGACAGAGTCCTACCACCGGTGAAATAAATATTGTTTATTACTTTTGAATTAAGCCTATATCAATATGTTTAATGTATTTTTTTAAGAAACTTAATTATTAAGAAGTACAAATATAGGTGGGAAATTTAAAGTAGTTCAAACGCACGCCATCGGTCAGACCGAATATGACGTCAAAGTATGATCAGAATAGAGCGATTAGCGATTTTGTCGCTACTAATTAAGTCGCCATTTTTCTGTGAATATCATACTGTGACGTCACGCCGAGCGAGAAATGGCGGGCGTTATAAATATCCGTATCGGAATGATATTTTAAAAAAAATATACTAAATTTTAGTTTTGTGAAACTGGATATTTTTTACAATTATTTAACGATGTTAGCTATAGTATAAAAAAAATTCACGCATATTTCGTATTTACTAAAATTTGTTATAATATAAAGGTTCATTTTTTATTGCCTTAAACGAGAAAATTAAGTTAATATTAACAAAATTCACACACATTTAATTAAAACAGTCATGGGAAATTTTAAGAATTGCAGGCTATTAGTACCGTTTGCAATCTATACATATTCTAAAATTCTGAGCCGAATCTGTGCATTAAACATTTTTTGGAAAATCTTTAAATAGTCATTATTATCAATACATGGGCCGAATCTATTATTACTTATCTATTATTATTTGTTTTTACTATTAGTTTTTAGAATTTTTGTCTGTCTATCCGTCTATCTGGGAACGTATCATGAGAAAACCACTGGACGGATTTTCATAAATTTGGTATGATGATAGCAGGTTTTCCGAGTCAACATATAGAATACTTTTTACTGCGGGAAAATATCTCATCTCTGAGAAATCTATACTAAACGTTAAAACATTTATTTTTATTTAATTAGATTAATCTTGATTGATTTATTTATTTTGATTTTTAATAAAAGTGACATGTTTTATCAATTTGTAATTTCTGTATTTTTTTTTATTTTGACTTTGTTATTATTTGATTAATCTTTAATTTGACTTTGTATTTAATCTGACTTATTTTGACTCCATTGATTCACTTGATTAATTTGACATATACGGTTTAGTTGTTATTTGATCAATTTTATTCGACTTGTACCTACCTATTATTTGACTCTTTTTTTAATATTATTTAAATTATTTTAGATGACAGGCGTTGACTTAATTTGATTCATTTTTATTGTATTTGAATTGTATTTATTAATTGTATATCAGGGATACTATATATAGTATACTTTTGATTATATACCTAACTAGCATTGCCCGTGGCTCCACCCGCGTTCAGATGACCCAAAACCAA